GGCTCCCCAGGAGGCTCCATCCTCGGTGCCTCGGGCTCCGCCACCCGGGAAGGATTGGCGCGAATTCGCTTAGCAGCTCGCTTCCTCCGTTTCATGCCACTGAACAGACTCACACCTCGAGTCTTCTCGGCTTCCATTGCACCTACAAAAAAGGAGCCCGACATCAAAAAATGAACAAAAACAGAAACGAAAGTACCTTTATCTGAGCAAGAAACCTACCCGAACTCAGACCGGCCTTTATGAGTTTATCCTCCGTCAGATAGGCTTCGCATTTTTGCCCAAGCCGGGCCCAGTCCCGGAGGCCCTTCACTGTATCATCATCTAAAATAGCACCAGGGTCAAGAGCGGCCAAACCCCACTCAGTAGGAAACGGCCACCCCGTAGCACTTCGAACCACGAAGTAGTCCCGCTTCCATGCCAGGACCTTGTTTGGAAAGTCATGTAAGAGCTTGAAGCTCGGGCGAGGTGACAGGTAGTACTTCCTCCTACGCCTGGGCAGGGGACCCGCCTGTTTTTTGAGCATGAGGATAGCTGAAAAGACTTCCAGGTCTAAAGGAAGGCAGTGTTCGCAGCACAAGGAGATAGTCCCAACAAGGTTACGAACAGAGCTCGGGTGAAGCTGACCTATAGTAACGCCGAAGTGGTTCATGACTTCGATGATAAGAGGATGAAAGGGAAGGCGTAGCCCGGCAATGAGCTGCTCCCGGAATATCACGATCTCGTCCGGACCGTGCACCCAAGGAAAGTCACCCGAGGGCAATCTATAGGCATACTCCCCGGGCAAGTTGAACTGGGCAACAAGGGACTAAAGCCTCTCGAGCATCATGATGGAAGGCCCGAACTTGTCTGGCACCCGAATCCGACGGGAGTTGGATGCTAGACTATCCGAGGTGACCCGGCCTACGGGCTTGAATTTGAGCTCTTCCTCAAGTTCAACCTCGAGCCCTGCCTTAGACTCGCTAAGGCTATCAGGGGCGGTGGCTCGGTTCATGGAACCGGCGTCTGACCCCCCCAGAGGACTATCCATGCTACTAAAACTAGACATCGAAACGAAGAGGGCTGAGGACTCACCAGGAAAAGCTACCGAACTACGAACGAGTGACGTGAGTTGACAGGCTTGGACACGAGCTCAAGGAACAAACGCTGAAGGATAACAGAGGAAAGTGACTAGGGGTTCCCCCACTATTTAAAGCTACTGTACCTGCGCCTCAGCAACCAAGATCGAAACCATCCAATGGCTCCCCGCAAAGTCAATTGCACACTCCCCGAAGAAAAGACACTTTGGCGCGCACGTTCAAAAATTTGAAAATTTGGAATCGTTTGCGTGCGCGAGCTACACGCAGCCCAGGATTGACCCCTGGTCGAACCAAGCTGTCCCGGTTGAGCCAAGAACACAAGCAGGTCAGACCGGAGAAGTTCCAAACCAAGGCCAAAGTGTCCCGAGGCAAATCCACCCGTCATCCCATGAACTCCCCATGCCGGGTTAGGACCTCGGGCATGGGGAGTGGGGGGCATTGATGGAGGGAGATTTAACCTGACCCCTTGGCCATGCGACACGTGGAAGCAACCGAGTGACTTGGCAGAAGTGCCAGCTCGGCACGACAGCAGGCCCACAACCCGAGCTCCAAGCTAAAGTGTCCCGAGCTCCCTCAAAAGGAGGAACCTACAACCCGAGCTTTGAGCTAAAGAGTCCCGAGCTCCCCAAGGAGGAACCCGAGCTCTCCGGGACCTGAGCCTTACAAGGGGAACATAGGGAAAGAACCCAAAGTGACCTCCCAAAGGCAGTTTGGGCCATACTTTTATCCAAACTCAAGACTTCACCTCGCACACCACTTCGGCTCCAAGTTGCCTAATTGAACAACCGTACCTGACGCCCAGGAGACTGTACACGGAGGCGGCGCACTTGACTGATTAGGGGACCGACACATGACAGCCGCCATCCAACGGCCGCCTGCCACCGCCATCCCAGACGGACAGAGGCGGCCCTGGCAACTGGCAGTGGAGGTTATGACACCCGAACTGGCAATTGGCAGAAGAAATGACACCCGAACTGGCAAAGGAAGTGACCCGATCTGGCAGAGGTAATGATGCCCGAACTGGCAGAGGCATGGAAGTGAATGTACAAGGTTATTATAAAAGGCCCCCATCTCACAAAAAAGAGGGTATGTGATTCTTGCGTTTTCTGGTCTTAGAATTCCTCATTTCCCTTGCCTTCTAAAGAGCACTAACTTGAGCTTCGGAGTGTTCCAACAGGGTTCCTCCCCAGAAGTCTCCATTTTCTTCCTTATTTCAGGCACCTCCAATCTCGTCAAAAGCGAGGTAACTGGTAGGTAGGACGGACCGGATTGTGCATCATCAGCTCCCATCAAAGTTTAGATTAACAAAATCTTCAGTAAAGAGCTTCCATATTATATTTGTTTTTTCTTTTCTGGAAGAACTTCTAGCCACCACTTCCCATTTTCTCCAAAGATCATCAAAAGACTAATGCAAGAAGTCCTAGTGTACACCATTACACAATCTGTTACCACTTCTTTACTTCTCTCCTTTCCTAAAAAGATTCTATTATTTCTTTCTTCTCAAAGAGTCCATATTATTGCTGCACTTGCACTTCACATAATTCTTCCCCTTCTTTTATACCAGACAAAAGTAAAAGGGGTCAAAAAGCTGAGACATCACTTCATTAGGAAGCTAGTTGAGAAAGGAGAAATTGATTTAAAATTCAAGACTGAAGTCCAACTTACTGATATTTTCACCAAACTCTTAGCTTCTAAAAAATTAATGCATTCCAGAGTTCTGGGTTAATTTCTTTGGTTATGTAAAAAACAAAAGTTCTAGACATGTAAAAAGGTGGGTTGTTTTTTGTCTTTGTATTCTTGTATGTTGTCATGTACAGACCAAGAACTTAAGAAACCAGCACCCCTGTTCACTGCATTCTCTCTTTTGTTGCATCATAGGAGAATCCAACCCATAGAAAATGATTTGGCTTTTCATTTTTCAATATGCTAAACATCAAATTCATGTTTTCACAATGTTGGCCTCTACACAAAATAATTCTAAAGCCTGTCAACTATATTGCATCATCATACACAGCAAAAATGAACACTACAATTCTGAATATTACCTTCATATTATTGGATGCAATCCTCTTCCAGATATATGAGATGTTGCTATATCAGAATTAACAGACACAGAATTGTTGTCCTCAAATTGATTCTTAGGATTTTCATCGACCTTCTGGTTCTGGTTCTGGTTCTCCATGATTAGATGCATTCCTTTTCTAGACATTTGAGACATTGCTATATGACAGTTAAAAGACCTATAGTTGTTGTCCTTCTCATGTTTACTGTTAGGGTTTTTGTCAACCTTCTGCTTCTGGTTCTCCTCTTTCCACTTCTGCCTTCTAAGATAGTGGCTTACAGACATCACGCCTATACCCACAAAAATGGACATTAGGCAGCCACCTCCGACAGATGCTAGTGCAGCCAACAGCCATCTCGTTCCCTTGCATTATGGTATGATTATCCACGAGCCTGCCATGTAAGCCATGGCCATGAATGATACAGATAACCAGAGCGCCTTGTGGTTCCATGCCAAGAGTTTCGTTAATGACTTACGTGTGAAGGGGACAACACTGACTAGTACAATCACAATCCCAAGTGACAAAAATAGTGCTAAATTGTTGCAGATCATGAAGACCTTAAAAAGAATTGATCTTCCCCTTGTTGATCTCCCAATTAGCAGCCCGTCTTGATAAACACCGCCTGGAGGGTTGAAACCAGCAGTAAATGTGACACTAGCTATTAAAACAGCAACAATAGTTATTGTGTTTCGATCATTCTGTAATCCCTCTATGTGGAGGTTAAGCTCCTTCTGACAAGGATAGTAGACTCCTTGTCCTTCCAATTTGCTTTGGATAGGCCCTGTGGTTCTAGATATTAACCCTCCGGATCGAAGGGTTTCAAGTTCACCCATTGATGGTGTTTCAGATATTTCACTTGCTTGTCTTTTCAAGAGTGATCTGCTTGATTGTAACAATTCGCTCTGCCAATTGTGGGCTTGGGTAGTTAAGCCAATTAACTCTGTGGGCTCCAGTGGTCTACTAAGTTGTGGGATTTGAGGAGATTCAAGTGACAATTTGCTGCACATCTTACCACCGGCTTCTCTAAGTGATACATCCAAAGCAGTTAGTCCTTTGTGGTTGACAGCATTGACAGCATGACAATCTGTTCACAGAAATAAGGAATAAACAAGAGGCACCTCACTATGTACACAGTAAGTGCATTGCATGGTTAACACCATAAGGCTCAGTTTGGAAGGAGTATAAATACAAATATTTAGAGTGCAAAACTTTGCATTTTGTATTATTTTGCATGTATTTACACTATACATATTTGTATTTGTACTTTTTCCAAACTGAGCTAAGAGAATAGAGATATTAAATTGAAGTGGAGTAATAAAGCTTTAATGCAACATTAATTAAGTGATTCTATAAGGTGCATGGTGGATCAAATTTTTTAGATAGTCATGAATCAAGGTCTAGGAATTGGAAAACATTAATTTTATAATACCTTTTTGAGCTATACTTTGAATGTTGATTGTAAAAGTATGCCTGTGTATATGAGTGAATTGGATGAAAATTAAAACAATAAATAAGAGTGAAGAAAGAGAGTGTAGAGAATAATAAAAGAAAGAGGATGCAGGAGTACAGGAAAACAAGCATTGAGAGTATTTAGATTGTCTCAATACAAAGGGGATTCCCATGGTCATACCTCCATATCTCCCAACTCTCTTGATATTGTAAATTACAAGCATATTAGAGTCCATTTCGGTCAAGTTTATGCTTGAAATCATCCCATGAACACAAGTATTAAAGGCTTCTAGGGTAGGCACTTTTAACTATTAAACTATTTTCAAAGTTAATTACCAGATCTATTATAAGTAATTCTGTGGGGAATAAACATTGTAGGAATATAAATACCGCAAAAAACATTGCAGGACTCAATATTACATGCCTTGGCCACAAAAGTTGCAGTTTATGAGCATATATAGTACATTCAAACTATAAATATTGAAAACATGGGATACAACATTTACAACCTAAGGTAATAGTAGCATAGAGTTTTCAATAATTTAATCATATAGATGTATGTAAAGGTTAATAAAGTCTTAAAATTTAATTAAATTTTTTAGACGAAAAATTTCTTCATACTCAAAAGTTTGTGAGTTAAAAATCATTGTCTATGCTTTAAACCCTTTTTAGATAAACTAGTGTAAGGGCACATGCTATGCATGTGTGCAAGAAAGTATTAATCATATATGATATATTGTGTAATTTAATTTTTATGACCTGCATGGAACCCAAGGAAAGTATTGGTTTTACATAGTATGGATAAACAAATATGGCATTTACACATAGACTATTTTTAATTGTGTACTAGAATCTGAGTTCCATACAAAATCAAATTCTGGCAAAAACCCAGGTGTTTGATTCAGATTCTACTAACTGATTCTAGAATCAATTCTAAAATCCATCTACAACCTATTTTGAGAAGACTGTACCCTAGATTGTAGCAAAATTAATTAGGAGACTTCTAAAAATCCAAATCATTTGTAACTTTATAATGTTAGATTTCAAAATCAAATTAGATTCTAATACGCAATCCAAAAGGCCCTCCTACTAATACATAAGTTCTAATCAAATATGCTAATAAATATATAACAAAAAGATTAGTTAAGATTATGTTCGGTGCCATTGCTCAGTCTACCCAAAACGTTTGGGGTTGATGGTGAGATTCATGTGTTGTCACATCACATATGAGAGCCACTTCAACTAGAATGTTTAGACTTCACCCCCTTGAGCGAGAAACGTTCTACAAACAACGTCCACACATGCATTTTTTAAGATATGTCTACTTCAACTATAAACAGCTTCAGCAGTTGTATGCCAATTTGTATTGTTCAACCCAAAAACGTTTTAGGTAGAAACAGCAATAGTACCAAACAAAACCCATGATAGCATGATGTCTTACCCTATAGAGTCTCCTAGCCATTGCAAGATGTAAGATGGTGTCACCATCCTTGTTGGGAAAGTTTACAAGGTCAATGATGTTCACTTTCTCTACCAAAAATTTTGTGGCATCAAACTGGTTGTTCTTGACAGCAAGATGTAGAGCTGTTTCTCGTCCAGCCGTCAGTATATTGACCGGTTCTTGACTTGCTGAGAGGATTTCATCAAGGATGTTGACTTGCCCTCTGATWGCTGCCAAATGGAGTGGTGTTCTACCACCATTGTCTTGCTCTTGCAAGCAAGAGAGGTCTGGGTCAAGCCTTAAAAGCTCTCTCGTTATCTCTAAGTGACCATTGTTACAAGCCAAGTGCAAGGGAGTGCATCCTTGAATGTCCTTTCCCCATGCAAAGTCTTGGCGTACCTCAATTATGCTCTTAACAATCTCTGTATAGCAACGCATGCAGTAAGACACTATTGAAGTAGTCAAGAGAGAGAGAGAGAGAGAGAGAGAGAGGGTTGAGGGAAAATTCTAAGGAATATTATGACAAATAGAAATTGTTTAGGAACTTTATATTTCTTTTGCCATGCTCATGCAAGAACTTCCCTCAACTTTCTATCTTTTATTTACTAATATGTAAAGTGTTTCTTATCCTATTTTATAGGACTGAGATACAAGGAATAGCACACATACTACACAGTATTAGTCGATATTATATATCAAGGATTATCATCAATTACTATTCATTCAATATCCACCAGAAATTTAAAATAAATAAACAAAAGAAAAAAAATGATTAATCATCACAACTGGTAATCTTTAAGTATAATTTATAAGATTTATTTCTTGTCTTCCCAAGCATATAATGAAAATAAGAAACTAATTCATGAAATAATGAAATAAATAAGAAAACAAAAAACGCTAAATAGTATAAGAAATATCTGACTAATAAAAAATTGAATCGATAACAAAAATAACAAGAACTAATAAAATCATAAAATAATTAAGCAAGTAAAAACAATCAAATCATTAATAAGTTCAAAAATAACTAATGAACAAAATAATATAATACCTAATGAAATGATTAAATAATTAATAAGCAATAATAATTATGCAATTGATTTAAAATTCTTTAATTATTTTCCTAATCATTTGTATTTTGATTATTTAGTTAATTATTTTTAGTCATTATTTAATTACTTAATTATTTATTAATTAGTTAATTATGTTTTAGTCTGTTTATTTATTTGCATATAAATTATTTAATTATTTTATTAGTTAGTTTATTATTTTTGTTCATTCTTTCATTAGTTAATTTATTTATGAGAACTTTAGTTTATTATTTAATGATTTTGTAATTAGTTAATTATTGAAACCAATTAATTATTAATATTAATATTAATATTTGTATTTATAGATTATTTTTATAGTTTTAATTATTTAACTATTTCTAATATTTAATTATTTTATTAATGATTTTGCCATTTTCTTAATTAGCTCCTTATTTTTTATTTTTAGTAATTATTCTGTTAATTATTTGAATATTTTTTTTCCTGAATTCTGTAATCATTTTATTAATTTGTGAATTACTTTTAATTCTATTATTAGTTTTATTAGTTATTTGCTTATTTTGTTAATTTTTTATTTATTTTAATTAATTAGTTTTATTATTTACCATTAAATTTGCTCTTAAGTAATATAAACATTTATAATATGTCAAAATTAATTAACTAATTATTAAGTATAAAATTAAATGGTTATTTATTTTATTACATTAAATAACTAAATAATCATTCTTCAATTAAATATTTAATTGATTTATTACTTAATAAATACTAATTACTTATTTTATTACTAATTCAAATAATTAATTTATTAATGATTAGTAGATAATAAAATTAAAATAATTAATTACTTAAACATTTGGCAAGTGGAAGTTTGGAAAGTATTAAAGTATTAAAAGCCATTGACCACGACCAACGTTGAGAGTTGAGAGGTCAATAGTTCTTTTAGTAATTTCAGTGAACGCACTCCGGGCTCAGTTTCCTTCACTCATTCCAAGAAGGATGCTTGCGTTTTTCCGATTGGGTCCAGCAGGTTGCCGATTTTTCCAAGCTCTCCTAGTTTTAAAACATTGATCATATAAATTAAGCCCACTTGCTCAGCAAGCTGGGACATAACGACGTAGGATTGATCGGCACCCATAAGTCCATGCTGAGGGCAGATGGCGGCCAACAGCCCCTGCTTTACCAATCACCATCACCCATTTATCATACATTTTGAATTATTTGATCAGAACATTCTTTATCTCCGTCAAATTTACCAAACAATTCATCAAGTTCAGTGAGTTCATCAACTCACCTGTATGCCCCTCCGACGCTGCAACATGAAGAGACGTTGTAAATCTATCTTCTTCCAATGGCAGAATTTCTGGAAAGTTGTTCAAGAGATGCTTCACTACATGGGCGTGTCCCCGCCTAGTAGCCACAAAAATCAGAGTTTCCTGGTAACGGTTTACTAAAGATGCAACCCAGGGATCAGTGTGTAACAATAGTTCTAGCACATTGAGATGTCCTTTCAGACATGCTTTGTGTGATGGAGTTTCCATATTCTTGTTCTGCTCCAACACCATATCTGGCCGTAAGTCGACAATCACTGAAGCTAATTCAATGTTTCCATACTCGGAAGCTATGTGTAAGATACAGTCCAACGACCCAATGGTTCTTTGTGTTGGATTTTAATTTCATAAGAGATTAAATCTAATGGGTTTGATTGATCAATTACAAGAGAAATTGTACTTGTACACTTGATTGAAATCTGTTTTTCTCTTACAAAAACCCGGTTTTGAACTTGTCCCACATTGGATAATTATAAGTTTTCTTTTCAGTATTTTAATAGGAGCTGATTTATACTCCTTAGAATTAGTAGAGGAGAGTATGGAGATTCGATACCGCGCAATGTGCATGCACGCACGCACACACGTGTGTGCGACGCAATGAGGCGCACATTGCTCGCACTTCGCGCGCACCCGCGTGGCTCGCGATGGGCGGCTTTGGTTTTGGTGCGTTGATGAGATCAACGGTCACGATTCGATCGGGTGTGATCAAGAGACACAAATCAAAGTTAACAGTCACCAACTGTTAACTACTTTTTAAACAGTCATAATGTTTGGAATTGTGACTGTTCAAGGTGCCTTCTCTAAACCAGCACCTACCTTTTCTTCATACCTCTTCACAAATTATTTAAGGAGCATGAATCAGACTCTAAAACACACAATTTCGAAATTCACTCTCTCTCTCTCTCTCAGTCCGGTCTGCTACAGTCTCATAGAAGGTTTCTCTAGAGACTCTTCAACTTTGCTGGTTGCAGATTCTCGCCCAAGGCTTTGTTGTATCCTGCGAACGAATTTGCCTGTAACACAACAGCAAACTCAGTAAAACTGAGTGGGGGCAAATAACGTTCTAAAGACAGTGTCTTCAGACGCGCCTCAGAGCTTCTCCTCCAAAATTACAGTGACCCCATCTTCTCCAACACTTTGCTCTATAATGTCCTTGTTTTCTTTGATTATATCAAGAAACACGCATACATCACCCTAAATAGTTGCCTTTCGGAGCCTTCCATCCATAGCTAGATCACCGTATGCGATGGAATCGAAGTAAACAAATCGGTTAGGGACTTTGGATGCAGACCTGGTACTTGAAGAAGTGATACCCATACCCACTATTAATAATATCAGATGTCAGAATTTCCTTGTTTTTGGGTTGCTATTGGGTTGCTTCTAATCAGCCATCGGAGGGAGCTCCAGCAACAAAATCTATCAATCCCCAAGGCTATTGTCCGTCATCCGCTTGGCAACAATATGATGGCATCAATGGCAACGCTAGTGAACATATAAGCACATTTGAATATGCCCTCAATCCTTTCACCATGGATGGAGACCTAAAAGTCAGGGAGTTTTCCATGCCCGGTACCGAGGACAATCTAGTCTTGGGAAGAGTTAGTAAAAAAGTTCTTGCCAAAATGGTTTGTTGTTGAGACACGGCTCACCATGGCTGATCTAATGGGAGTCCAATAGTATTCTAATGCTAACGAGGAGCTATTGGCTTATTTAGAAGGATTTTACATTGCCACGCACAAGCTACATGATGACAGAGTGAAGTAAACCTTGTGCAGGAGACCCCCACTACAAAGCCAACCTAGAGAACCTGAATCTAGAAGACTCCACCAACCTATGGTAGTGCCCAGAAAAACGATTCATACACAATTAAAGGAAGCACCTGCTGAGAACCCTCATCCCACGGAGGAAGAGGAGGGGGTTACTAGGATCATCGCGAGTCGCGACAACCACCCCCGACATCATTCACTTGTGGAAAGAAAGAAGTGATGGCCATCATGGAAAGACTGCTCGTTATACGACAAAATCCAAAGGTCACTGGTTGCACGACCACCTACTAAGGAGGAAAATCAAAGCATGTGCTTCTATGAGTTCCACCAAGAAGTCTCCCATAACATTAACATTATGGACTGCTACAGGCTCTAAAAGCATTTCAAGGAATTCATACAGCTAAACAACCCCTACCACCTCACCCTTGTGAGGAGTATTAACATGGTCAACAATGTCGTATTTAACACGGCGTCGCCACAACATTGGCTGTGCGGTTCCTGCAAAACACACCTCAAGCAGTTTTTTCAAGAAGAAAGAATTCCACGGAGGCTCGGTAGAGGATGGCCAGGGCCCTACTGATGGTTTAAGACTCCCACTACAACTAGGGTTATCTCATTTGTCTTGGAGGACATGATGGTTTAAGACTCCCACTACAACTATAACCGGCCCCTTGTGTAATGAGGCACCTCAACGGACAATGGCTAGGAGGCTAGAAGAATTTGATAGATGCAAGCGACTCCATGAATGTAGTTTTGATGCACACTCTATAAGACATTGACATTGAGGATACTGAGGACAGAAGTATGATTATGGAGATCTTAGACTTCAACGCCAACGTCTCCCGCACTCTTGGGTTTCGGATGTTGTAGGTGGAAGTTGGGCCTTATAGTGTTAAGGCAGAGCTTCAGAGAGTGGCAGCTCACACGTCCTATCATGTGTTACTGGGCAGATTGTTTATCAACAAGCTGTAGCTAGTCCCCTCCACATACAACCAGACAATGCACCAAAGTCATTCACTACAAAAAGATGGTAAGGATCGCAGGGACAAAGGTGTTGTTCACAGTCACCAGGTCACACCTTCAGGATGTAGTGTACTATACAGAAGCATTACCAAAGGATGATACCTAACTTATCAAGATCACTAGACATCCTATTACAAAAGAGCTAGGTGACCACAAAACCCCAGCCCAAAAGAGACGAGCCTCCCACCTTGAAGAAGTAGTGGATCACAGAGTAGATGTGTGGAAGTAATCACTCTTGAAGGGCACAACTTCTACACCCTAGTACCAGCCAATGCCCACCTAGGTCGTGACCTCATCTAACTACACGAATTGCATGGGCAATTTGCCAAACGACCACCATCCATAACTCCACTCTCCCATCCAATTCTACTTCAATGGATCAGGTATGAGCTTTTGAGTATAGACCTGAACCCTGACTCCACGGACCGAGATCAGACTTTGAGTATAGTCCTCGACCCCGACCTCTACGGATCAAGGACATCACATCCCAAATCCGCGGACCGGGTATGAGCTTTTGTGCATAGACCTGAACTCTAAACGTTGGCAGAAAACCTACAACTATATCTTGTGGAGTGACATCACAACTCTTGAAGGGCCACCCCCTCCCCTATTTGCAAAAACCAACTGATTTGGTTATCTTCGACTATCATCAACAAGTGACTCATACATTTTAAACATCACTTTGTTAGATCATCAATCTGTTATATCATTAATATTTGATCATTGATATCTCAATATGTAAAAGCAACTGATACAATTCTTATGTGACATTTACATTTTACACTAATACAAATGCATATTTCATAGCCTACATCTCATTACAAGAAATTATGACACATTAGCACACACTAGCATACATAAACAATGTCTCATAACACACAAGTATAACTTTCAAACTAACCCTATAAATACCTGCAGGCTAGGTGTTTTGTTGACTTCTACAGCTTAAATAAGGTGTGCCCCAAAGACAAGTAACCACTACCAAACATAGAACTACTATTAGACTCTACCGTAGAGAACAAATTGTATTCCTTCATGGATGCCTACAATAGGTACAATCAAATACTCATGAATCCAGTAGATGCACTCCACATAGTCTTCAGGACACTTGTAGGAAATTTTAGTTTAAATTGTAGAATTTAAATTTCAAAATTTAAATCTGAAATTAAAATTCAAAATTTAAATTTCAAATTTCAAAAAGGGGGGGGGGGTTCAAAACAAAATAAGAGAAAATGAATTCAATGGCCAGAGTGTGTAGAATGAGAAACTACTTCCAATCTGAGCCACAAATAGATTGGAACCATGTGTCTAGACAACTAGACAAGATTAATGGGATGGCCCACAGAATTGACCAAGTCCTTGCATATCGTCAACAAAGTAGCCTATACCTAACCTTGTCAGCCTATCCATCATGTTCCATCTGTGCAAGCCCGACCCATCATGTTAGCCAATGCCCTGCGGAAGGCCCATGTCAACCAGTCATTCCAAGCCAAGTACATGTGGCCAATAGATCTTTCCAACCCAATGCTAACCCATTCTTTAGCCCATACAACCCTGGGTGGGAAAATCAGCCCAACTTCACTTATACGACCCAAGCCCAAGAAACCCCCTTGCCAAAAGGGCACTTTCAATGATCTGAAGCCCAGACCCACTAGGAGTACAAAGATTACCCTGGGACTCAACCGGTTCAACCATGTCAAACCTACATGCAATCCCAAGAACAATACCATCCATCCACAAGTACAGAGTTCATTCCAATAGGTGTACCCTTGGAACCAACTGATCCAACCGTATCAGGCTTACCCTCCACCTCCTCAGACCTGTATAGTAGATGAGCAATTCATGCAACTTTAGTAGCTGATCCTAAATCAGTAGTAGTCCATCGTTAAATTAGGGAGCCAAATAGGACAGCTAGCCAAAGCCAAGAAGGGGAGAGAAGTAGGGCAACTACCAAGTCAATCGGTTGTGAATCCTAAAAATCAGCCACTGGGTTTTCCTCCACAACAAATTCAACCACCTCCTAAGAACCCTCAGCCTGAATATACCAAGGCTATTACAACCTTAGGGAGTGGGAGGATTTTATAGGGCCCGTGTGAGACGAAGAAAATTGAAGAAGAAGAAAAGGAACAGGAAGACCCTAAGTTAGGGGGAGAAGAAATAGGAAAGGAAAACTTAGAAGAAGAGCGCATAATGAACCAACCCGTAGTTCCCTTTCCAACTGCACTCATAGTCGGGTCGGTGCGAAAGAAGAAAGAAACTCGCAACGAGGAGAGCAGGGAAGTCCATATTAACTTTCCTTTCCTCGACGCGATCCAACATATCCCGGTCTATGCCAGGTTCTTGAAAGAGCTGCGTACTCAAATGATGGAGCTACAATCGGCCCCACAAAAAATGATGCTCTTGGCAGATGTTAGTGCAGCTCTCCTAAACCAACTTCCCCAAAAA